GGGTGTCATACACCCACAGTCCAATAACAGTCTTTGTGCTGCAGCTGTGAAAATGTCTAGAAGAAGACAAGACGTGAAGGTCCATTGACTGTGGTCAGTGTCTGAAGTTTTCCCATTTCTGCTTTCCATTCCCACACAGCACAGAAGTAAAGACAATGCTTTATATTCAGAATTAATACAGAGCAGTATTCTACAACTAAGACTAGGAGTGCAAAGTTTGGAAATTTCCACTGGAGCCAAAGTTGGTAAATAATTTAGTGCAAAGGCTGATGCTGTCTGGCCTTTAGCAGCCAAAAAAGGAGATGACATTGATAATTTGGTTATTATACTACTCACTGTCATGTTCATTCAGACAGGGTTGACCAATCAATAACCTCTGGGATTGGGCATTGGGGTGGGCAGCAGCGAAGCAGTCGCCACTGATGGTAAATTATTAGTAAATCTTTGTAAACAGGTCTTTGTAAACTTTTTTTGATGGCTGGTTTTGCAATCTCGTTTATTTGCCATCACTTTTAATTATTGATTAACCAAAACCATTGAACCAAAACAGCCTTAGCGCGATTGTGAAATTGTCCCTGTAATTGCTCTTTTGGGTTGACTTAAGTAATTGCATGTTTATGCCCAACATCAGGCCGCTTACATGTATTTTGCAGAAAGCAGTCATTGAGTGACGAGAGCGCCGGCTTTAATAATGTTCCCACACCATCATTTCCCCACATTTTTGTGTCACACCTGCTTTGGAAGTCCACTTGTTTGAGAACATTCAATGCTAGGACTCAGAAGCACACTACTGTGTATATATCTCTCTCTATACAAAACAGTGGACATGGGAAACAGTTTCACGTTTAAGGATTTAGAGTTCTGAAAGTTCAAGAGCATTTATTACAGCAAGACGTCGTTGTAGTTCCATGTTGGTGTAAGCCAAGAATGTAAAGTTGTCGTAAGAATTGTTTTCAGGCCGACCTTTGTTGTCTCTTTTAATCATTACTTGGCACACTGATCCGAAGTGTGGCGTCTGTAACAATAGTCCAACTGTGCAATGAGAGAGGAGGAAATGTTTTCTCAGAAAAAAAGACAAGACAAAAGCAAGATGTCTGGAATTTAAAAAGCGAAACGTTTACTAAGGCACACGTGTACAGTGTGCACACGGAGAGAGGCTGTAAGACTCAACCGCTTTTCTGAAATCATTAAGAAATACCTCATGCAACTCTTTCCTTCCTTTCTATTCATGAAAACGTTGACTTCTGAATAAACAGAAGCAAATGAGGTTTCTTTTTGACACTAATGACATTTGATGGGTCCCTGACTCTTTTCTAAGTTAGAGAATATTTCCAAATAAGACTCCTGAATAGGTTTAATAGAGAGATCTCAGCAACTAGGTGTTGGCTGCCATAAAAATATGTGCAGACACGACATTCCTCGGAGAACGAATCCTGCAGACTCTGCTGACTTTTACTGTAACTGCACAAGGCTGACATTTGTTTCTCTGAATAAAATACGCTCCTGTTTTCATGCACTCCAAATCCAACCTGAGAGATCAGTTCTGTGTTTCTTATGAAGCTCATAATACTCCGATTTTGACGAAGCCGTCAGGAATGTTTGACTTTAATAATGTGCTTCTCACTGAGGTCACAGATAAAAATGGTGCTGTGCTGGCCTGTTTGCAGCTCATTGGCCCAGAAACACCTCTGAATATTATGTTACCCCATCATAAAAGTGCACTTTTGTGATGTGTACAATAAATTTCCTTACCGCCATTTGTTCAGTAAACTAATTTGATATCCACTGATATGGATCAATGCCCATGTTTGTTCACACATCATTGGCTCCAAGAAGATCTTAATGCATCTTATGATCCACTGACAGTTTCACCTGCAGAGGTTTGATTTCATTTCAGAGTTTGAATGAATGAATGAAGAGTTTGTTTTTTGGTGCATCACTGTGGCAAAATCGAGGTTTTGCCTCATACATTATGTTTTTTTCCAAGGGCTTTTTGGGAAATGCTAGCATGCAGGTGATTCAGGTAAATGCTACAAGCCACTGATATTTAGGATGTGCAAGTAGCAGGGACTTTCCTCCTCTAACATGCATCACTGTGCACACATTAATACAGACTTAATAAATTAGCCAGTAAGCAGAACGGTGAATGAGAGAAGATAGTATCCTTTTTAGGTGTATTTTTTCCAAACTGAAAAAGTTTTTTCAAACTTACACACTGCTGCTAATGAAACCTTCATCTCAGGAGCTTCTTGGAAGCTTTCAGGACGATATGGGAAAGAATCATCCTGAGTTTCCCATATCACCGTTAAATCCCCTGAAAATAACTGCTTTGTGTCCTCTTTGTGCTTGTTTCTGGCTTAAAGTGAATTATAAGATCAAGCTTTGCAGGATGTACAGTCAGCAGTATTGATCCTTGTCTTTGAGAAAAGCAAATGAGGGTGGTCCCACAGCAGCTACACTCCGACTTACAGCTCTTTATTCAGAGACGCTTGTGTTGTTGGATATGACAGAACAAACCTGTTAATGACAGCTTTGATGCCATGTATTGTACACATTCACTCAGAGAATAGAATCAGTTACACGAGTCTCCCCCCACAAAAACTAGGTGAAAGATACTCGTTTTTATTCTTTGAGTCCTCCAGTGACAGTTTGATTTTTATTACTTTATACCTTCAGATCGACAGGTGCCGAAACTGCCGGTGACTTCCAGACTTGTTGCTGTATTTGTAAGAGAGGAAGTGTAAGCAGAACCACTGAACACCTGCACTGTGTGCAAAGCAAAGTGAAGAAGGGGAAGAGGTCGTTTTCTGCCATGATTTATTTTGCTGATATGTTGTTTCAAGCATGAATGAACTTTGGGAGTTCACAGTTAAAGATTGAAAACCTAGTGTAACATTTAGCCCAGGCACTGCAGACGTTCACCACTTAATAACTGATGTGCATTACTTTAGTTTGACCCACAATGAAAGTCCAACCATCTAGTTTATGGTTAGCTTGCAGTTCTAAGGGAATCAGCCCCGATGTAGGTGGTGGTGCATCTGTGTGACTGAGGCGGTGTTCCTGCAGAAACCTTGCTTCTGCAGCTGTTAACACACAGTCCAGCCCAACCATACAGTCACACGTCTGGCAAGGGTGAACTGAACCAACACAAACCAAAATATCCTCTGAAACCCCGACGGAAAAATCTGTTACAGTAAGAGCACAGATGAAACCAGCTATGACCAGCATGTGTGGCAACATGGTGTAGCATAATTTTTTAATGTTAATTAGTACAACAAGAACGTATCAAATGTTGAAACTGGAATTTAATGGCAGTAACACATAAAAAAAAAGCTGGAAGAGTCAGTTACCTATGAAATGTTGGAACATCTAACATCTGATCAGGTTAAATAGTTGCATGATCGGAAATAGAAAAGCAATTTAATGTTGGCCATACATTCCTTTCTTATTTCATCAGGAC